TATTTAAAGGAAGGAACAGCGAGTCCTGAGTGCATTTAAAGAAATAGGATAACTATAGGAATGTTTCTGATGGATCTCAGCTACATCTACTTGGAAGTCATTCCCATTGATTTCATTGGGATTTGCTGTCCTGAGCATTGCAGCATGGAGCCCAAACAAATCTGTCCTCACTATATTTTCTAGTAAACTAACCCCGCTGGGTAGGGCTCTGAATTCAGAGTTGACACATTTCGGAATAATTGTCCATTGATCTTCCTAAATGCAACTGCATGGAAAGATGTATGCAAGCATGTTGTTGTTGTTGTTGTGTGCCTTCAAGTCATTTCTGACTTATAGCGACCCTAAGGCGAATCTATCATAGGATTTTCTTGGCAAGATTTGTTCAGAGGAGGGTTTGCCATTGATATCCTCTGAGGCTGAGAGAATGTGACTTTCCCAAGGTCATTCAGTGGGTCTCCATGGATGACCCAGGATTTGAACCCTGGTCTCCCAGTGTCCTAGTCTGATGCTGAGACCACTGCACCACACTGGTTGGGATATATGTCTTCACTGAGTTTCTTCTTGAAGGTAGCAGTGAGTAATTTTGGCCATTTTCTTCTTGCTGCAAGAAAATCTTTGAAAACCACACATTTTTTCAGAGGCTGCTTCCAATTCTGAACTTATTCTGCACACAATTTGCATGCGGCTGTTTTGCGCAGAAAACAGCATTTTCTGCATGGAAAGTAATATTTCATTGTAGAGATATCAATTCCTGTGCAGAAAATTCACAGGAAAAAAAAATGCTGTGTTCTGTGCATATTAGCCATGTGCAAATTTTACGAGGATTAATCTCCAGTTCGAGGATGTTTTGCATGGGAAATTGGTATATCTGCATTGAAATATTATTTTCCATGCAGAAAATGCGGTTTCCTGCCTGCACAGAAAAAGGCTGTTTATTGTGTAAAACAATCACATGTGAACTTTGTGCAGAATAAGTTCCAAACTGAAAATTCTGGTCATTCTAGGATTCTTCTCAACAGGGTTTCTCCACACTGGAAAAACATGTTTTCCAACTATTTCTTGAATGTGAAGTCGTAGGCTTTCATGGCTGGCATCTATAGGTTTTTGTGGG